GGGCCGGGCGGGCCGGAGCCGTTGCCGGGAGGCCCCGGGGCTCGCGCGCGGTGGCGTCGGGGAAGCGGTAGCAACCGCCCTCCTCCCGCTGGCTTCTTCTTGCGACTTTTCTTTTGTTGTTGCCGTGACCCGGGTCTGTTTTCTTGGCTGTTGTTGAAGGTGTTTTCCTGCTGCACCGGCTCTACGCCCTCCACCTCCTTCCCTGTGGTTTTAACCTTCCTCTTTCCCCTTGTGCTCTAAGCACAGGCAGCTACGCTAAGATTTGCATTTCTTGCCCACTCGGCACCCCCACCCCCGCCCGCACCTCTTTGAAAAACAAAACCCCAGCCTCTTAAAACCTCTGTGGATCCGCGGTAGCGAGACGTGAAGGGGTTGATTTGTGGAGTGGGAGTCGCTGGCCCATTGCGGTGCTTGGGGCTCATTAAACTGTCACTCACCCCCCACCCCACTGGGTAAATGGGGTGATTAATGTCTGATATATGGGAATGGGGCGAGGGCGTTTGCGGAGAATAGGTTGTATCGCTTGGGGAAGAGTGGCTCGTGAACTAGGCTTTCGTGATTATGTCATTCACCGCGAAGTTAGAGGAAGTTAGGTTTCTGACTTTGGGAAAGCGAGGACGAGACAGAGTGGTTGGGTTTTGTTGTGCCTTAACTCTTCGCTGCGGTTTTCCAAGGAGACCCCAGTAGTTACCGCGGGGGCTGGGACTCTTTCGCCTCAGGCCCCAGCTCTTTTCTACTTCGCACTCTTCGCGGTGTCTTGTGGAAAAGTGTTTGACATTCATGGATGTCGCCGCACCTCGCTGGGCGCTGGTCAGCTCAGCGTAGGTTACATTACCATTTCATCAGCCACTAGAAAAGACCCACAAACTAGCTTTAAAGTTCCCAAACTTACTGGACCTGTGTGGCTCCCCCACCCCTTTTCTCTGAAAGATTTTCTTGTGATCATGAACATTACAGAGTGACCACCCCCCCCCCCCAAAAAAAACCCAAATGTTATGGGACACAGATCAAGGGAAGACAAAAAGTTCTGCTTTTTCTGTGCAGAAAGATCAGATACGCAGGTACAGCGTTCATTTTAAGTGGCTGTAGCAGGTTGTGTCAGTTTATTAATTTGTCTCATTGAACTGAAATACTTTCCAGGATTTCAGAAAGTGCAGTTTCAGCTTGTTGATACTGAGAATTGAAATTTGCATTAGCTGTGGCAGTGTGAGAAATTCTCCTGAGAAGGTATTTGTAGGTAAGTTGAAGAGAGTGAAATAAGGTGAAGTAGGCTGGAGTCATAGTTCCTGAGAAGCCTGCCAGCGTTTCAATGGTGTATACCCTTATCTCCACAAAAAAAAAAGCCGGGCAGTACCGTTGAGATGGGACTGGAGATGTCAAATGGGTTGGTTTAAAAATATCTCTAAGCTGCCTTTGAAACTAAACGTTGGAGTTGAATAAAAGTGAATCTGGATTTCCTGAATAGCACCGTGGCTTGAGTGTGCTGTCAGTATGTAAGCCAGTCCACCAACTTAAGACAGAAGTGTTGCTATTCCATAAATACAGTAGAACTCCATATGCTGAGTTTTTCAATTTCTTCTGTTAGAAAGTTTGGAAAAAAAGGAAGACTTTGAAGTATTTTGTTTATACTAACAGAAGAGAAAAGTTCTCCTAAGAAAAAGCTGGTGGCAGGAGTGTAGAGGAGTAGCATATGGCATTAAAAGGAGCACAGCTGGAGGTAGCATTTCCATCTGAACATGATGTCAGAGCAGCTGACAGCCTGCCATCCCTCAGCCTTTTATTCTAACACACAGACAGGGAGTTAGTGTGTGCGGATCTGTGGTGGAGAAGGTATCTCATTCCTCTCTAACATCATCTCCACTTTGCATCTGTCTCTCTTAGTCTGCTTTTTTTCCACCGATGTAACAGACCTGGAGCCAGGAAGACTCAGAGGAAAGGACTTAATCAGGTTTATGTGTCCTAAAGGTAGGAGTAGCAAGAGATTAGATTGAGCATATTTCTGTTTTGGTGTTTTGTTTATTTAATTTAAAAAAATCACATTACTTTTCTAACCCAGTTTAGGAATAATATATGAAATTGAGTATTAAATAATGATCTTACTGGAATTGAAAGTGTTGGGCTGGCTTAGTTTTGATTTTTATCCCTTTTACTTGAGCAAGTAAATTAACTTTAATACAGAGAAATATTTCAAGTTTTTAAATGTTAAGAACGACTGTGAAATACTGCTTTTTGTGGTCACTTTGGATTAAAATGCGTTTTTGTTCACTGCTATTTAGATTCCTTTTGCTTGAGGGGGGCAGAAATAGTAAACTAGAATCCAGCATTCAAACTTATATGAGAAGATTATTCTAGTTAAGAAGCTAGATTGTTGTGTAATTAATTCCACTGTGAAACTTTATTCTTCAGAACATTCAGCAGCACCGCTGAAACATACAGCTGTAGTGCTTTTGAAACCGGAGGTTTTTTTAAGATGAGGAAAAAAACAAAAAGCAAAAAACCAAACTTTTGTCCTCGTGAGAATAGTTTGACTGGTTTCCTCATTTCTCTTTCAAATATATATTTAAGGGATCTTTTATTTCAGCATAACAATAATTATTTGCAGGAGTTTTTGTGTTAGCGACTAATTTAGAACTTGTAGATTTGAGCTGCCTGAATTGGCCAGACAGCTGTAATCGCACTCCTCTATTCTTAATCTCTTTATCTGGGCAGCAGCTGCCATATGGCCACAGTCAGCTGGATCAGATGTTTATAAGCTTCCTTCTTCGTCCCTCTCTGTCCTCTCAGCCTCCTAATTTGATCACGGCTACCTTGTGAGCTGCCCTCCAATCTTTATTTTTAGCCCTCTCAAGGATTAGGATTGATGTTAGCTGTGGGGCACTTAAAGTGATTGTATTGTAAATCTTGGTTTATTCTAGCAGTGGCATCTTGCAGAATGTATCTGGCTTTAGGAGGAAAGTTTTAGTCGGTCTTGGGCAAAGTGTAGAAGAAGAAGGGAAGTAATTTCTGAATATTAAATTAATCTGTATTCATCCTTAAAATACACTGGCTGAAATGAGTGGAGCAGAGCTTGGTTCTGGTCACGTGAAAGGGGAAGTCAGATTTTCTTTATTTTTGCAGAGTTCACCCACTACAGTTGAATTTTGACCCTTTGTACATCTTTGCCTTTCCTCTCTCTCCATTTCGCCCTCCCTTAGCAGAAAATAAGGCAAAGATGCACAGTGGAATGAATAGAAGCTAGTGGGAAAACAAAATATGTCAAGTTACCTTGAAACAAAGTGTACTGTGTTGTCGAGGTAAGGCAGAGTTGGAAAAAAAGTTCTTCTAGAAAGGCTTAAAAAAAGTTGTATCTAAAGCATTTGAGTTTCATTTAAGAGTGGTATGTCTTTATATGGAAAAACTTGAACTAATTGTAATATAGAATTTGTTTTGCTTTGTAGCAAATCAAAGTTTAGATGAGAATTTTCAGAGTTAAATAAAGCCTCTCTTGGTTCCTAATATTGTTGAAGTACAAGTTCTACCAAAAAAAAAAAAAAAAAAAAAAAAAAATAGAGCCACTTTTCTCTCTTCATTTAAAAAAAATCTTTGGATTTGTTTGTAGTAAAGATGATCTTTTCCATCTGTTGGTATAGTTCCTTCTGATCCCGTGCATGTGTGCTATACCTGCAAATCTTAAGGCATTAACATCTGTTTTTATACACAGGGCTTTTGTTGTTGTAACACTCTGACTTTAAAAGTAAGTTGTTTGCTGATTTCTAGACTAATTATGTGATTTCATTTTTTTTTTTCCCCTTGACTCAGCCAAATGTGTGTATGTGCTTAAACTATGTTAAGTACAGTCAGGTATCAAAAGTGTGAAATAAAAAGAATACTTGGATGAGTTTTCTTGAATCTTTCAGAATGTATCTGGGACTTTCCTTTGTTCGTGATATGAGTTGCTCCCTTTGAAATTAAAGCTCTCTTCTAGTTTTATGGGGAACATAATTTGACAAGTAGAGTTAGCTAAATTTCTTTTGAAAGAGATCTAAATTCTTGTCCTCAGTAAGAGGTTGAAGTTAAATGCAGGCTTTTAAAACTTGATCAGAAGTTCAGGGAAGGTGGAGCTGCATCAGAGACTATTTGCTGGAGTAAGGAAGTTCAGGGAGTATATGTTTTTCTTCCCAAATTTAGGTTCTCTGTGTGATTTGGTAGTCCGTGGGTGCTAAGCGTGATTAAAATTCAGGGACGTGTATCCTGGCAGCCAAGGCAGAATTATTATTTTTTTATATGGGGATCAGAGTGCTGAAAAGTTGTTCCTGACTAGGTTCTAATGAGAAATTCCTCTTTTCCCAGGTTATGAAGACAGTATGGAGTTTCCAGACCATAGTAGACATTTGCTGCAGTGTCTGAGTGAGCAGAGACACCAGGGTTTTCTTTGTGACTGCACTGTTCTGGTGGGAGATGCCCAGTTCCGAGCGCACCGAGCTGTACTGGCTTCATGCAGCATGTATTTCCACCTCTTTTACAAGGACCAGCTGGACAAAAGAGACATTGTTCATCTGAACAGCGACATTGTTACAGCCCCCGCTTTCGCTCTCCTGCTTGAATTCATGTATGAAGGGAAACTCCAGTTCAAAGACTTGCCCATTGAAGACGTGCTAGCAGCTGCCAGTTATCTCCACATGTATGACATTGTCAAAGTCTGCAAAAAGAAGCTAAAAGAGAAAGCCACCACGGAGGCAGACAGCACCAAAAAGGAAGAAGATGCTTCAAGTTGTTCGGACAAAGTCGAGAGCCTCTCGGATGGCAGCAGCCACATGGCAGGCGATTTGCCCAGTGATGAAGATGAAGGAGAAGATGAAAAATTGAACATCCTGCCCAGCAAAAGGGACTTGGCGGCTGAGCCTGGGAACATGTGGATGCGATTGCCCTCAGACTCAGCAGGCATCCCCCAGGCTGGCGGAGAGGCAGAGCCACACGCCACAGCAGCTGGAAAAACAGTAGCCAGCCCCTGCAGCTCAACAGAGTCTTTGTCCCAGAGGTCTGTCACCTCCGTGAGGGATTCGGCAGATGTTGACTGTGTGCTGGACCTGTCTGTCAAGTCCAGCCTTTCAGGAGTTGAAAATCTGAACAGCTCTTATTTCTCTTCACAGGACGTGCTGAGAAGCAACCTGGTGCAGGTGAAGGTGGAGAAAGAGGCTTCCTGTGATGAGAGTGATGTTGGCACTAATGACTATGACATGGAACATAGCACTGTGAAAGAAAGTGTGAGCACTAATAACAGGGTACAGTATGAGCCGGCCCATCTGGCTCCTCTGAGGGAGGACTCGGTCTTGAGGGAGCTGGATCGGGAGGACAAAGCCAGCGATGATGAAATGATGACCCCGGAGAGCGAGCGGGTCCAGGTGGAAGGGGGCATGGAGAGCAGTCTGCTCCCCTACGTCTCCAACATCCTGAGCCCTGCGGGCCAGATCTTCATGTGCCCCCTGTGCAACAAAGTCTTCCCCAGCCCTCACATCCTGCAGATCCACCTGAGCACCCACTTCCGGGAGCAGGACGGCATCCGCAGCAAGCCAGCGGCCGATGTCAATGTGCCCACGTGCTCGCTGTGCGGGAAGACTTTCTCCTGCATGTACACCCTCAAGCGCCACGAGAGGACTCACTCGGGGGAGAAGCCCTACACGTGCACCCAGTGCGGCAAGAGCTTCCAGTACTCGCACAACCTGAGCCGCCACGCCGTGGTGCACACGCGCGAGAAGCCGCACGCCTGCAAGTGGTGTGAGCGCAGGTTCACGCAGTCGGGAGACCTGTACAGACACATTCGCAAGTTCCACTGTGAGTTGGTGAACTCCTTGTCGGTCAAAAGTGAAGCACTGAGCTTGCCTACTGTCAGAGACTGGACCTTAGAAGATAGCTCTCAAGAACTTTGGAAATAATTTTATATATATATATAAATAATATATATATATACATATATACATATATACATAGATCTCTATATAGTTGTGGTACGGTCTAAAAGCAGTCTTGTTTCCTGGAACTAAAAAGTTGGGATCTTAACTTGTTTTTGCACTTTAGAATAATAGCATGAGAATCTCACTAATTTAGCATTCTGATAAAAGAAACTTTAGAGCAAGTCGGAGAATAGAGAGGTGTCTTTCCTTTGAGGGATAGGTGAAGTAAGCCAATAAGAACCTTCTAAACAAATTGTCCTATCACAGAATACTTTCATATGGCTTAATTTTGTCAACACTGCATTGTCTTTTGAGTTGTTGTGCCCCACATTTTCTGTTTCTTTCAAGTAGAAATTCCCTCCAGTTTTATTAACCTCTGTGTCTCAAATTGCATGAACCTTTTCTGGCTGTTGGAAACCTGAATGCTTTTAGACCCAAATGGAAAATTTCTGAAATGCTGGATTATCTATTTTTAAACAAGCAGTTGACTTAAAACTTTCTGTGGCAACTTCTGGTTTTCTGACGGTTCCCAGTGAGAGAAATTCTGAGAGTACACTGGGGTCACTGGGACACTGTCTTTGTGAAGGTTTGCTTGGGATGAAAAAGGATATTGCAGCTTCAGCAGTGTTGAACTGTGTGTTTAAAAATGTGAATTACTGTTCTTGTATACTGTAATTGATTACATGGGCTGGGGGGGTGTCAAAGAACTTGACAGGTTGTGTTGATGCTCTTAGTTGAGTCTTGAAAAGTAAATATTAACGCTACAGAAATGCATGAGTTCAATATATTTTTGTCTTTGTTTGCATTGTATAACTTTAACGAGTGAGTTTAAAATTATTTAATTTCCTTAGAAAAATAGCACCATTTGGAAAAAAACTGGTGTTATGAAGAACGTAAATGCACTGTTTTTATTTTTATTTTATATAATTTAAATTGACTTTCCCACTGTCTTTAAGTTGAAACTGTTAAGCTGAATAAAACTTAAGCTGCAAATTGATAACTTTGCTACATAACAAGGAACATATACATGTTTACAAACGGCTTAAAGATTTGCATGTGCAGTGTGCATTTATAACAAACTTCTAATTGCACAAAACCCATGCCAGCTCAAAGTTTAGGTGTACACATTTACCCAGTTGAGCATTTTTAGAATAACTACTGCACAAATTGACAATAGGTCATTCTTTTTTTTTTTGCTCCCCTTTTCTTTCTCTCCCTTCTTACCACCCCCCCCACCCCAAACTCATGAAAAGATTCTATGGACTGAAAAAGCCCCAGGCTGAAAGGACTGGACTGCCTTGATTGACATGGGGAAGGGGGTTAGTAGACTATGTGTATCGGCAGCAGAGGCTGCAGCCCAGTGTGTGGCTTTAATGACCAGCACACAGGGCAAAAGCATTTTGCACAGTGTTTGTTTTCCTGTCTTGCACTTACAAATAAGGTCTATGGGAGTAGCATGGAAAACGTTTGCTGTTTTTCCCTTTTTTTTAAAAAATTGCTTTTGTTTAAAATTTGATCGCCTTAACTACTGTAAACATAGCCTATTTTTGTGCTTAAGATACTGAATGGAAAACTCCATTGTGTGTTGCTGGACTGTTTTGGAAATATTTGGTCAAATGTGTGTTAATTTGGCTGTAATGGCATTTAAAGCAAACAAACAAAAAAAGCTGTGAAAATGGCCTTGGAGCATTATCTTTAGTTACTTGAAGAGTTTTTAGTTTTTTTAAATACAGTTTATGTTAAAATAATTTTTATTAATTTAGAGAAGACAATCAGTGTCTGTGAGAAAAACGGACTTTCTTTTGGATTTTCTTTTTGTGGTCATTGTGAGTGATTGCTTCTTCCTTTTCTTAGTCTCACATTCTTCCTTTGTTCTAAAACTTAGACTGACATCTAGCTTTGACAATCATAGTATGTTTTATTTTCCTGAGGGGGGAATAACTTATAATGCTGTTTAGTTTTGTACTCTTGGTGTGTTGGTGAATTTTTAAACTGTGTGCTAACTGCAATAAATTATATGAACTGAGAATTTTCCGTGTGCGTGTGTGTATGTGCATTTGTATTATGATCACGTACTAGGTAGATTCTAAGTGTGTATGGTACATGGTCTCTTTAATATCAGTTCTATTCAGAGTTTATGAAATTATAGTGTGCGTTAGGCCACCGAAATGGAAATGAGCAAATATTCTAATTTAAATGCACATTTAAAAATGTGACCCATTTTCTATAGTTGTGATAAGAATGTTGAGGCAATTCCCTAAAATCTTGTGAGTCCGTGAACCTTCAAGTGGCAGCATAGGGTTTTCTCAATAGGCTGTCCAACTACTAATCCATACACCATAAACTCACTTTTCATGTGTAATTTTATCCTAAGTTGATTGGTCAGATCTAGTGTGTTCTGGTTTAAGTGGAAAATTGAAGGAGACCGGATGTCTTAATTTGGAAGACTGCTTGTCTAATGAGTGGATTTGTAGGCAATTGAATTAGCAGGCACTCAATTGTTCAAGATTAGCTATAGGCACCCTTCTTGTTGCTGGGAGAACTTGAACAGTTCCAGGTTTTAATTCTCAGATTTTAATTTTAAATATTGTGCCGTTAAAAGAACTCTGTTCCTTATTCGTGATTGTCTCAATTTCAAACCTATCTTGTTGGGTATATGTCAGAATAAGGAACATCGTGGGTTGACCTAGGGAATTAACGCTCACATGCACAGGTGGGACTGCAGGGGAATTGTCATGAGTGGCCTTAAATTGCAGACAGGGCTAGACATTGACCAGAGAGATTTTATTAAACCTGAAACCTAAAATTATGTGTAACTTCCCATCCTAAAGATGCATATTAAAATAGTTTTTACATTACTGTTACATATGTTTATGTTAAGTGGCATATATTCTTAACGTCTAGAAGTGGAATAAGAGCTGGGACTTGAAAATGTATCACATTAATAAGCTCCCTAATAGCTTTGGAATAGGAATCCTCACAAAGATTTTGCTGCAAAGCACAACTGAAAATACAATTTTGAATCCTACATTTCCCTTTTTATTGAAAGTACATATGCAACTCATACTTGGGCTTAACCAGCCAAACATTTCCCATGAGAATTGCATATACACTGGACTCTGCAAAATAATTTCTTGAGCAATTACGAACTTACAGAAAGGGACACTGATGCTTGATTTTCCTGTGGTAAGTGGTCAGGGTAACCTGGAGCCTCCTGAAGACACAGAATTCACTGTATCATTTAGTCTCACTGGCCATCTAATTTCAGATGAGCATTACCTTACCAAGCTTAGCCAGATACACTTCTCAAAACAATGTTTTGACATGTGACTTGAAAATAGCATCTTAAAAGATTGCAAAATTAGAAAAATAGTGATTATATGAATTGCCGCACTTGGTAAGTTAGATGCAGGAAGCAGTTCGATACACTTTAAGAAAATTTGTTGTGCAATCATATTAGAAACCATTAAAATGCATTCTTCCTTTGACATCTGGCCTGATCCATAAGTATATGTTTAAAAAGTGGTTTCACTTACTTTTGAAAACAGCTGTTTCTTTCAGATAATTATGTCCTGGGTCGCTGTGGGCCAGCGCTGTACTAGTTGTATGCTAGGGAATATCTAAGAACTATGAGATGTTAGGATCCTGGTTTTGGATTTCCGTCCTAGTTAATTCTGCTATCAGAATAATAGGTGCATCAAGTAGAGTTTTTCTTCATCAGACTTGTCATGAATATCTACAAACAGATTTTTGGAAGATTTGAAAAAGATAAACTTTCAAAATATATAATGGCTCACATAATGACAGAACTCGTTTTCCCAAGTAAATCTTTTGTTTTGAACTACCAACTGTTGAAGAAAATAGTTTTTCTTAAATCTAAGAAATTACTTTAAAAATCCTGAATTTCCATGTTTCTAGATAAAACACAAATTGTAGACTTCAGAATTTTTATTGTTTCTGTTAAGTTTTTTTAAAAAAGGTCTTAAGATCGCAAAATTTCTATTGCATGATTTATTTTATTCCTATAAAGCATAAAATGACATTTGATTTCTAACCAAAAGAGAGAAACTTGTGACGCCTCCCCATAGAAAACTCAGGTAATTTTAGATTTTAATTTGTAGGTAATCTAAATTTTTATAAATGTTGCAAGATTTGAAATTGCTGGTAAATACAGTAAATGAAGCAAGTGTGAATTTTGAAATGCGGGAAAGAAAAGATCCATCCACATTAAAGTCTTTGCCCTTAAAATGTTAAAGGTAGTATCTTTAAAAATAAATAATTGTATTTTTAAAAAGCAAATAGCTTTTAGGAATTTCACTTTGGCTTGCGTCCATGTTTATTACACAAACAGGATTTTGTTCCTTATGTTAAAGATTTTCTACCTTTTGCGTACTGAAGCACGGCAAAGCATCTTTGTATGTGATCCTTCGGTCTAAGATGAGAACCACTTGCCTTTTGACGTTAAGTCACCTTGGTTCTATAAAAAGAAACATGTATGTTTGTAACCCTCCCATCCCTGCTCAAACTTGCTTGACATTATAAAAGGATAACAAACAGCCGAATCTTATTGATGACACTGGACATTTTTTAGAAATACTAATTCATTTTCAGAGACACTTTGGAAATTAAACTGTTAAGTATTTTTGCAAACCAACTCCTTTTTAAAAAAGCTACTAATTAACTTTTAATTTCTTGTGAAAGAAGCTGAACTCCAATGTAAAACATTGAGCTGAGAAAGGATGAGGTCTTGGAAATAAATCAAAGGCTTGAAAAAAATTTTTCCCAAGTTCAAATACCTTATTGTCTATCTACTTAGGATAATTTGTTGAGTTATCCAGATAATTGGAGCATATAGAATAATTTTCTTCCTAAAGTAGTTGAGCTTTTGAAAGAAATACATTTTGGGAAAAGGATGAATTATGCAGTTACCTTTCTTAATTCTATTCTAATGTTTACTAATTTACTGTTCCTCAAAATTTTTAGTTTTAGAGACTTAATCTTTGATGGGTAATTAACAGCAACTAAAACACCCTTTCAAAACCAGAAATTTTCTTGAATTTGTTGCCACGTATTCCCAAATAAGATGTTTCTTTAGGAATGGGTTTGCAGTTAAGTTTGTGACTTGCTATGGGGAGCATTCTCTCTAGTTAGCTTGGCAGAAAAGGAGTAAAAATCCAATTTGGCTTTAAAATGTAGCACATTAGTCAGTAACAGTTTCAGTGAGGATATTTAAGAGTGGCTTTGAGAGACCGTGTGACACCCATAGAGTCCATTCACGGAAATGACTGGCTTACGGTTTGTTATGATCTCTGTAGTTAATCATTAAATCAAGTAGCTTTTATTAAATGTCAATATGCATGCTTAATATGCCTATATAGGAATTTTAAGGGTCGTATTGCCCTAAATATTCAAGCTTGTAAATGTATATTTGTAGTTAATATGAAGTGGAATGTGGAGAATGTTTTTGAATATTGGTAAATTAAGATAGATTAAATCTGTTCTTTCAATACATAATGCATATACAATAGTACTAAACCTGAAAGAATAGCATAACCTTATTTACATGTTCTATGTCAAACCGGAGCTAACTTTTGATATGGGAAGAGCTTTAAAGAATGTGTCTTAATCATGTATGGTTTATAAATGTATGTTACTCAAAACTATTTATAAAAATTACGTTCATTTTACTTAAAAATCATAAAGTAATTCATTTTACTTTTACAAGATTATAAAGACCTTAATATTTTTGTAAGCCTAATGCTCTGAAATGGTTTCTGATCAGAGAGCATTTAGGCTTCCCATCTGAATCTCTTAAAATTTATCTTTTTAAAAAGAGATGCAAGATATACATACACCTTTTCTGTGGACATTTATATTATATACATGAGCTCTTTGGTAATATTGAAGTGTTAATTGCATGCTTAAACAGAGAGCAATGTCTCTTAAAGATGTCAATTTGGATAAATTTTGGAAACACGCAATAGTACAATAACAGATAATTAAAACATTGAAGAAAAGTATTCAAGGCTTGAGAGCCAATGCTACTCTACTGTAGAAGTGAGTGCAATCTATTTATATTTAGGGTTTAAAAATCCATTTTTCTCATTTATAACTGTTTCTCTACGTCACTTCAAATTCTCAAATAGAAAAAATTTAAACATAGAACCATATTTGAAGAATATCTAATTTATACAGCTATTTCTATGATACCTGGCATTGAGAAAAAAGGTCTCATGTCTAAGCATGTGACAGAAGAGAGGAACAGTACAGGTATATATTCAAAGCACAGTCATTGTACAGGAGCCCGCAGTGTAAAATTTGTTTGAAGATCTCTTCAGAATCCCCAAGATTTTGCAACTGAATAAACCAAAAGAAACTGAAGTCTGGCAGATAAAATGTTCCTTTAGGTTCTGTTTTTTGTTGTTGTTGTTGAGACTCAAACTAAAATTCTTACTTTGTAGTCTGCTCTCTCTGTTTCTCAATGTCCTTTTATTTACTATAAGAGGGTAAATTTTATGCATCGAGTGATTTTGACACCGTTGCACAACTGATTTTTCCAGCCAGCTTGTTTTTGTATATGACTTTCTACCATTTTGAGAAGATGGAAACAAATTTGAAACGAAAACTACATTTCAGATTGGCTCTATTACCGCCCGACACCCGTAAGCCACAGATACGCTCAGAGGGAGGCCTGAGAACGCAGAGGAAGGAGCAGCGGCCTTTCTGGGCGCTCATTACAATAAACAACACCAACGTGGATGAAGTCCTTAGGTTAAAAGGGGAAAAAAATGGGGGCTATGTTGGGGCACAAAGAAGATTTGCTTTTCATACTAAGTGTGAAGTCTAGAAAATGTGATTTCGCACATTCTATTTTTATGTTCTTTTACTTGAGGGATGCCTCAAAGCAGTACTAGAATCACTTCTGTGCAGAAGAGGGAGGCAGGGAGGGTTTGTCATCATTTATTCAGTTTGCTTTGTAAAGGTGCTTATCTTGCAGTAAAAATAATAATTCACTCAAAATACAACAGG